TATCTTGAGATGAGCCTGATGATGCACTCCTGTAGTCCAGCTATTGGGGAAGCTGAGGCAAGAAGATCTCTGGCGCCCAGGAGTTCTAGGCCAGACTGGGCAACATGGCAAGACCCCATCTCCAAAAAACAAAACAAAAAACAACAAACAAACCCCAGAAAACTCTCTATCTCGTGGGCTTAAAAAACATTATGATAAATTTCAAAAATGTATCCTGAACCCCCATCATTCATTACCCCACTTTAGCATTTAACAACTCACAGACAATCTCATTTCATTCAAGCCCTCCCTCTCAAATATAATATGATTTTATCTATAAATATTTTAGTATCTGAATCAAAAATAAGAATTCTTTTTAAAAAGTCACACTACCATTATTACATCTAAAACACTCAACAGTAATTTTCTTCTGGATTTTTAACAAATGGTTTTGGCACATGTGGATAGTCATTTTGAAAGATACCAAAGTGGATCCATACCTCACACCATTCATCAGAATAAACTCCAAGTGGATCAGGGATCTAAATGGGAAAATATGTGTCCTAGAAGAAAATATAATTCTGTATATAAGGAAAACACCCCCCACCTTTAAAAACTATGTGTAGAAATTCAGAAGCTTTAAAGGTTAATAAATTCAACCACGTAAAGCAATTTTTTAAAGAAAAAAATTTTTTTTTTAGCATGGCAAAAACACCATAAGCAGAGTCAAAAGACAAACGAGAAGCTGGGGGAAATGATGTGCACAAATAAAGGGCTAATCTTCTCAATATAGAGAGAACATTTTAAAATGAGAAGAAGAAAAAACCAAATAGAAAAATTGGCAAAAGACACAAACAGACAGTTCACAGAAAAAGATGTACAGATGGTCCTTAAACATATGAAGAGATGCTCGGCTTCCCTCGTAACAAGCAAAATGCAAATTGAACCCCACTGAGAGATCATTTCTCATCCATGTGACTGGCAGGCATTCAAAGGTTTGATCAGCACTGATGGTGAGCTGCAGGAAAATCTCCCAAACAATGCTGGTGTGGGGGAAAATCAGAGGGGAATTTGTCAGTATCTAAGAAAACTGCACATATATTTACTGCTTGACCCAGGGAGACTTCTAGTAATTTACGTGGAAGATCTTCTCCACAGGTACAGAGCACCATGTCACTGTTACACACCACAGCATGATTTGCAATAGAAAAATATTAGGAGCAGGCTGGGGTTGTGGCTCAGTGGTAGATCACTTGCCTAGCATGTGTGAGTCCCTGGGTTCAATTCTCAGCACCACATGTCCACTACAACTAAAAATATTTTTTAAAAGATTGGGAGCAACCTAAATACTCATAGAGACTGGTTGAATATATTGTAGGACTCCAGTCATACAACAGAGTCAAATGCAGTAATTAATAAAAATAAGCTGGGCGTGGTAGCACACGCCTGTAATCCCAACAACTTGGGAGGTTGAGGCAGGAGCATTGCAAGTTCAAGACTAGCCTCAGCAACTTATAGAGGCCCTAAGCAACTCAGTGAGACTTTGTGTCAAAAAGTAAAAAATGGGACATGGCTCAGTGGCAAGTCCCCAGGATCAAAATAATAGTAATATTAGAGGAATCTGCCCTCACCCCACCCCATGTAGTGCTGTGGCATGATTTCTAGCTCACATTATTAAATAAAAAACCAGACAACAATCTAAATAAATTAAACAACCAACCAACCAAAGCCGCATGATATTAACGAGTGTATACAGTGTTCTACCTTTTATGTAAAAAAAAAGAAAAAAGAAACAGAATAAATAAATAATAAAGAAATGAGAATGATTACCTTGCTGGGCATGGTGACCCACTTCTGTAATCCCAGCAGCTCAGGAGGCTGGAGGAGGATTGAGAGTTCAAAGCCAGTCTCGGCAAAAGTGGGGTGCTAAGCAACTCAGTGACACCCTGTCTCTAAATAAAATACAAAATAGGGCTGGGGATGTGGCTCAGTGGTCAAGTGCCCCTGAGTTCAATCCCAGGTACCCACCCCCAAAACAAAAAAAAAAAACCAAAAAGATTACCTCTAGAGTTTGAGGGTGAATGGGGAAAAGGGGCCAAGGATGGAATTGCTACTTCTTTGAGTTTACTTTTAATATGGATTTGAAATTTGAACCCTGTATATGCTATACATGTTTAGAAAATAAAATTATATATTAAAAATGATAAAAGCAAACTCTAAAATTAAGTTCAGATAAGTATACATATCTGTATATTACATTGTGCTAATCAAACAGAAAAAGGAAAAGGAGTCATGTATGTCTAGAAAGAACAAATAAATTTTAAAAAAGAAAAGAAAAAGGAATTAATTTAAGTAACCTTGTCCACAGTGTTCTGACGTACACGATGAGTGGGATGTATTCTAAGGCCGTAGTGGTATTTAATAGAGTAGCCAGTAGCTATGTGTGACTATTCAAATACTTTAAATGCTTGCTAAGATTTTAATGTTTGTGTCCCCTCCAAAATTCATGTTGAAATTTTATCCTCAATGCAATGGTATCAGGAGGTGAGGTCATTAGGAGGTGGTTGAGTCACAACCACCTAATATCATTCATGAGTGATATTAGCTGCCTTGTAAAAGGGCTGGAGGGAATTAACTAGGTCCTTTTGCCCTTCCACCTTCTGCCATGTGAGTATATGTGAGAATTCCCTCACCAGACACCAAATTCCAGCACTTTGACCTTGACTTGGACTTCCCAGTCTCCAGAACCGTAAGAAATAAATTTCTATCATTCATAAATTACTAAGCCTTAGGCGTTTTTTTTTTTTTTGTTATAGAAGCAAAAATTAACTAAGATAATACTTAAATAAACTAACATGCCTAAATAAAACTTTTAGTACCTCAGTTATAGCAGCCACATTTCAAATGTTCCCTAGCCACAAGTGGACAGCAGAGATCTAGAACATTTCTCTTAGTGTAACTTAGTGGTATTCTGAGATCAAAGAAAACTGCAGGTAAATCTTGATTTTTACTGAGTAGATTTGTGATAGTCAATTCTAAAACTTTCTTGAATTTTGAAGGACAGAACAATTAAGTAAATGGATGGGTATTATTGAAATACGTTGTCACTGAAGGAGAAAGGAGATGCAAATGGATTGGGGGAAAATGAGAGAAATCCTGTAGAGTTTGATTTTAATCGAAGCTATCAGTATCAGCTAATGTCTGCCAAAGAAACAGTGTCCCAGAAGCAGCGAGTACCTCTTTCTGAATTCCATTTCCTGTCAATCCACCTTGGAGAAACTAATGATTCCAGACCTGGGAAAGGGAAAGTATAAAGTGAGCTGTGCCCAGAAGGGAAGAAGGGGCTCAAGGACTGATGGGTACCTGTCCATGGGATGCAGGAATGAATGAGGCTCCCCCTCCTGGACAAATTTGGGATGAATTAAGCCAGTGAAGATGTGGAGGTAATGGGCTAGAACACTGAGAAAAAGAATGTACAATAACTCAGAGGGATGGAGAAAGAGGTGGGGACGGGGGAGAAGGAAGAGCACTTTCTTATAGTAGAATACCAATTAATAAATGTGGATGGGTGATGGAGTTACACAATTTTGGATCACAATTTTGCAACTCGTAGTAGGATAATTGAGTCAGGAAAGGATCTTAAATGGAGGCTTAATTCGCTAGTGAGGGATTGTTGGTTTCCAAGTATGGGAGAGACAAGGTCACCTCTATAGAACTCTTACTAAAATGATTACCTTAACGTGAATCATGAGGAAAAAATCAGAAGAACTTCAGTTGTGGAACAGTCTACAAACTACTGGCCCAGACTTTTAAAAAATGTCCTGAAAATCTAACAGTTATTGGAATTTGTTCTAGATTCAAGGAGAGCTGACTATAGTGGCACATGTCTGTAATACCAGTGACTCGGGAGGCTAAGGCAGGAGGATTGCAAGTTCAAGACCAACTTCAGCAACTTAGTGAGGCCCTAAGGACATAGTGAGACCCTGTCTCAAAATAAAACATAAAAAAAAAAGAACTGGGGATGTAGCTCAGTGGTTAAGAGAACCTGGGTTCAATCCTTGGTACCACAGTCAATCAATCAATCAATTGATAAATTAAAGAAGAATAAAAAGATATTCAACACATGATCCTTGATTGGATCCTGGATCAGAAAAAATAAAATCATAAGGGGACAACAGTGAACACTGAATATGGACTGTCCATTAGATAATGTTTTGTCAATGTATCAATGATAGAATGTCTTGTGTGTGGAAATGCCATCGTGGTTTATGGAGCAGAATGTTTTGGTTTTGAGAAGTGCATGAGGAAGTGCTTTGAGATGAAGTGACTTCAACTAGTGTTCAAATGAATCAGAATAGAAAAATGGCCTTCATATGTATGTCACAAATGGACCTACTTTGTCCCCAACCCACTCAACACAACTCTCCTCACTGGCTGGTCACTGGGGAAGGCTTCCTATTCTCTTTTCAGAGCACCTTGTCGTGGAGCCCAGAGTCCGTAGAGCGGCAAGCAGGTGCAAGGCCCTCACCTGGCACCGTGGACTGATTTCTTGTCTCCTCCCTCATTAGGAACATTGGAAACCCAAGTTCAAGTCCCGGGGATCTTGGGGATGTTAATCTACATCCTTATCTTGCTAATCTGGGCTCCAGGGTCTTCAAAATCTCACCCAAGAAGTTATCTTTGAACTCAAACACCTGTAGGGTCTTGGGAGATGGGGACAATTTTATGATTTTTTATGACACTTTGTGTCAAGGGAATGGAATAAAAGTTTGTCCTGCAGATTCTCCGTCCCCTAAATTGAGCCCTCAACATCTGGGGGAGGAAGAAGAAAGCAGGAGATGCACGTGTGCCAAGTGTGCTGTGTGGAGGAGCTGGAGTTGATCTCTCAGACTAAGCCAGGATTTGGAGCTAGTAGCTGGGAAGGGACTGGAGCCTGGAACCTAGGGTTGAGGGGTACTGCTTGGCACCCCAAGGCTTCTGGGGAAATGGTCAGTCTCACGTGTTTTTGTCCCCACCCCTAGGCCCATGAGAGGTTGGAGGAGACAAAGCTGGAAGCCGTGAGGGACAACAACCTGGAACTGGTTCAGGAGATCCTGCGGGACCTGGCGCAGCTGGCAGAGCAGAGCAGCACAGCCGCAGAGCTGGCGCGCATCCTTCAGGAGCCCCACTTCCAGGTTTCTGGCTGCTGGGGCTAGTGGTGGACCAGGAGGGTGTGTCAAATGGGACATGCCCCTGGGAAGGGGACCGGCAGGAAGTTGGAACTGGGATGGGAAGGGACCACAGGGCTTTGCCCCATTGTCCTTCCTGTTCCCATCACATCTCCAGTCCCTCCTGGAGACGCATGACTCAGTAGCCTCAAAGACCTATGAGACACCACCTCCTAGCCCTGGCTTGGACCCTACGTTCAGCAACCAGCCGGTCCCTCCTGATGCCGTGCGTATGGTGGGCATCCGCAAGACTGCAGGAGAGCATCTGGTAAGGGTGACAGGGTGGGCCCCAGGCGGGTCTGGTGGGGCAGGGATTCAGAATAACCAATGGGGGAAAAGAAAGGGCAGGTGAGGGCTGAAGAGGAAGATGGGCTCAGCTTTGCCCAGGAAAGGACCTTGTAGACCCAGGAGCCACAGACCCTGTGCGTAGGCCCTTCGCGGACTGTGTCAGTGCCTTTGATAAGTGAGCAGAAGGATAGGAGAGGACTGTGAAGGCAGGTGGGCCGGTGGAGCCTGCAGTGGAAGGCCCATCAGGAGACCCATTTGAATATTCTGACTCAGGGGAGCCTTATCATACACACCCTCTGTCCCACAGGGCGTGACATTCCGTGTGGAAGGTGGCGAGTTGGTGATCGCTCGCATTCTGCACGGGGGCATGGTGGCCCAACAAGGCCTGCTGCATGTGGGTGACATAATCAAGGAGGTGAATGGGCAGCCAGTGGGCAGTGACCCCCGCGCACTGCAGGAGCTTCTCCGCAGCGCCAGCGGCAGCGTCATCCTCAAGATTCTGCCCAGTTACCAGGAGCCCCATCTACCCCGCCAGGTGGGCCCGTCTGCCTAACACCCCAATCCACAAAACATCCACGGGATGGCTGGGTCTTTTCCAAGCGATCCCCGCCCCCCAGCTTTCAGGGATGCAGTTTCTCCTCTCCAACCTGTTTTGAGGCAAAACAGACAGTGGGACCTGCATGCCAGCCACGTGGAGCCTCTGTGTGTTGTGCATGTGCATGAGCTCGTGGGTTTACAGACATTATGCTTAGGCACTCCGTGCATGTGTAGCAGACTGTGCATCTACAGTTCGGATACCTGAGTGTACAAGTGAGTGCCTGCGTCTGGTGCACAATATTGTGCAAGGCTCGGGTCCTGGACAACTGCTTCCTGATTGGCAGATTGTGGAGATCTGTCTGCTCTGCCCAGGTCCCCTGTCGGTCCTCTACCTCTGTCAACCAGAGCCCTCTCCTCCAAGGAGGAGGGGGTGGATGCAGGGTTAGGAGCCTGGGTCTTCTGTTCTGGTGATCCTGCCTCCTCAGTCTGAAGGTCTGCCCCAGGCCCGAGCAGTTTCCGCATTCCTCAATCTGAGTCTTAGTTCTAGATGTGAGGAGAGGTGTGGACCAGGAGAACAGCCAGGCAGGCCTGGAGGCAGGGCTCCTCTGGGAGGCAATGCCAGCCTCTCGGGTTTTTGTGAAGGGAGGGGGTGGACCATGTCCTATACCCATGCCAACAGAGCCTTCTCTGGCTCCTTCCTTTGACCCTTCACCCATTCCCGGGCCCAGGTATTTGTGAAATGCCACTTTGACTATGACCCGGCCCGAGACAGCCTCATCCCCTGCAAGGAGGCAGGCCTTCGTTTCAACGCCGGGGATTTGCTTCAGATCGTAAACCAGGACGACGCCAACTGGTGGCAGGTGAGCCGCGGGCGCTCCTGCAGTGTCTCCAGGTATGGTGTGTGGGGGGGGGAGGTGAGGGCACAGAGAGGGTCCCTCTGGCTCAGACGGGTCGTTGGCTCACGTCCATTTCAGGCATGCCACGTGGAAGGGGGCAGTGCCGGCCTCATCCCCAGTCAGCTGCTGGAGGAGAAGCGGAAAGCATTTGTCAAGCGGGACCTGGAGCTGACACCCACCTCAGGTAGGAGCTCCCCCGTCCTCCTAGAGCCCCATTATGGTCCTGCCTGCCTTACTCACCCATCTCCCTTGGCCAGGGACCCTGTGCGGCAGCCTTTCAGGAAAGAAAAAGAAGCGAATGATGTATTTGACCACCAAGAATGCAGGTGGGTATTAGTGTCCCCCTCCTTGTCCTCCTCAAACATGAGAAATCCCCCAGGGACTTGTAAATATGTTCTGGCTCAGAGGCTGCCCACCTGTCCCTGGGCCCTGCCTGGTTCACCCTTTCTTCCCTGGTCCGGAGCTCTTTTATCCTCGACCTCCGAGAGCCCTGTCCCTGCCTGCCTGCCCCATGATGCAATCTGTTGAGCAGTGCCCATCTCCTTCTGTCCAGAGTTTGACCGCCATGAGCTGCTCATTTATGAGGAGGTGGCCCGCATGCCCCCGTTCCGCCGGAAAACCCTGGTGCTGATTGGGGCTCAGGGTGTGGGCCGGCGCAGCCTGAAGAACAAGCTCATCATGTGGGATCCAGATCGCTATGGCACCACAGTGCCCTGTGAGTAGGAGCTGGGCCCTGCTGGGTGAGGGTCAGGGAGCAGGAGCTGTGTTGGGGGCCCCGTCTGGGACCAAAGTTCATCAGCACCAGGACAGGTGGTACCTCTGGGTGTGAGCTGTAGGGTGTGCGCCCTCTGTGGGTGGATAAGGGGAACTACAATTCAGGAGAGCTGAGAAAGGTGTCCTACCAACTCTTTCCCTTGCTAAGAATTGTGGGGAAAAAAGTGAGTGTCCAGCCCCGTGAAACAGGGATCTGAGCTGTGTGTGGCCTGTGGCAGGAGGGTTTCCTAATACATAACCGGTGTGGTGGGGGTTGTTGAAAGCTGCAGGCTTCCAGAGGCAAGGACAGTACTGACTACAGGTCTGTTTGGCCCTTGCGGTGTGTCTTTGTGTTGCACATTGCCCTTTCTGGGCTCCAACTGTGAGCACTAGGTTGGACTAGGTGCTCTCTGAAGGTCCTGTGTGTATGTGTTTTTGTGGGAAGTTGTAGTGAGGGCTCTACCGTGTGCACTGTGTGTCTGAGGTGGTGTGGCCTGCCTGTGCCCATTCAGCCCTTCTTCCCCACCCAGACACATCCCGAAGGCCAAAGGACTCAGAGCGGGAAGGCCAGGGCTACAGCTTTGTGTCCCGCGGGGAAATGGAAGCCGACATCCGTGCAGGGCGTTACCTGGAACATGGAGAGTATGAGGGCAACCTGTATGGCACACGAATCGACTCCATCCAGGGGGTGGTCGCCACCGGCAAGGTGTGCGTGCTGGATGTCAACCCCCAGGTACCGCCCGGCCTGCTCCTTCCCAGCCTGCTGACAGAACCCCATGACCTCCTTTCTTGCCCATCCTCAGGTGCCCACCCCTAGTCACCCTGGATACCCTTCCTGTTACCAGGACGCATGTGGGGATATCCTCCCCACCTTCTTCTTCTTCTGCAGGCAGTGAAGGTGCTGAGGACAGCTGAGTTTGTCCCTTACGTAGTATTCATTGAGGCTCCTGACTTTGAGACCCTGCGGGCCATGAACCGGGCCGCGTTGGAGAGTGGAGTGTCCACCAAGCAGCTCACGGTGAGGGGCTCTGAGGTGTGGTGGGAGGGGTCTGAAAGCTTCCTGGGAGGTGGGGATGGGCTCAACTGGTGCAGAGAAGGAGATGGCATTGGGAAAAGAGAGAGATGGCCACCTATGTTGTCAGGGAGGTGGGACTTTTGATGCTTGGTTGGTAGATATGGAGCAGGAGGTCTGAGAGAAAATGAAGTGCCGTCTCAGAGTGGGCCAGGGACACAGCTAGCCTGGGGCAGAGGAGCTTCTGATTCTAGGCCCACTGCTTCGTCCACTTTTCAGGAACAGAGTGGGGCCCAAAGGAAGTTCTAGAGGGCCAGTGGAAGAACTGTGGGGCAGAGGTGAGCTTAGTGAGTCTGGTGGTGCTTAGAGATGGGGAAGGTGAAAGAGAGGGAGGAAGCCAGAGGTGGACAGTGGCTGGAGGGATGAGTTAGCAGAAGGAGCAGGAGGGCCTGGAGAAGAGGCTCACCTGCCTGGTGTGGCCGACTCCAGGGCACTCCACCTTCCAGGAGGGGTAGAGTTGCAGAACTCTGAGCTCAGGCGTCCCTCTGCTGGCTACACTTGGTACTGCAGCTCTCTGGCCTGAAGTCAGCACTGCTGGTCTCAGGAGAGGTTGCCTCCAGTAGGGCTCCATCCTGCTGATGGTCCCTGGGGGAGCTCTGGGCCTTCCCTTGGCGCTTGCTCTGGGCCTTCCCTTGGCGCTTGCTCTGGGAACCTCTTGCTTGTAACAAATGTGGCCACGTGGAGCTGCTGGGATACTGTTGGCTTCTTCTTAATTTAAGTCAGTTGTTCAGTTCCCTCCCCCATCCCTGCCCTGCTCCCAGAATCTAGGGTTGGGGTTGCCCTGGTACCAGTTGTGCCCAGGTGTACCCTGGTACCATTTCTCGTGCCACATGGGTAAGGGGGCCTGATCAGACTGGGGAGAGCATTGACATGGGAGGCAGGCAGACCCTGCTGGGCCGTGTACCTCAGTTTTCTCCATTTTAAACAGGAGATTATTAATCTTTGCTACCTTGTAGCAAAGATGATGTGGGTGGTAAAGTGCTCAGTGCTGTGCTTGGCACTTACTAAAAATTATTTCCTTCCTTCCTTCCACTTACCCATCTGACCATGGTCTCACGAGAGCTTCTTGGGGTGTTCAGGGAGGGGCTCCTGCTTCCTTGGCCACGGAATCCATTCCACTGTGATGGGTTTTGGGGAGGGAGCAGGCTGGAGACCCCCTTGATGATGGGGATGAGTTGTGGCAACTGATCAGCTCTCATTTCCCTCCCCCTTCTGCCTGGCAGGAGGCAGACTTGAGACGGACGGTGGAGGAGAGCAGCCGCATCCAGAGGGGATATGGCCACTACTTTGACCTCAGCTTGGTCAACAGTAACCTGGAAAGGACCTTCCGGGAGCTCCAGGCTGCCATGGAGAAGCTGCGCACGGAGCCCCAGTGGGTGCCTGTCAGCTGGGTGTACTGAACCTCCACCTGGACCTTGTTCCCCCTGAGCTGTGACCCAGAACCTAAAACCACCCCTTCCCCACCTATGACCCCCAGCCACGATCCTCAGCTCCCGTCCTTGGTCTCTGGCTTTCCCCAGATAACAGCTCCCAGCGGGCCCTGAGCCTGGCTTCAGCACAGAGGCGAGCACTGCCAGGGAGGTGGGTGTTCATGGGGCACCTCTGTGCCCAGGTGCTGCCCACTCCCAATGTCCATTGGCCACCAGATATCTCTCTCTAGGGACCAAGCTGTGCCCAGGAGTGTGTTAGAGCAACCTCCATATTGCTTAGTCTAGAGAATAGAAAAGTCGTTTGGAACCAGTTGGCCGTAGGTACATTGCCCCCTGTCACCCCTGGGCACCTTTGCTCCTCTGGTCTAGTCACACCTCTCCTATTCTTGGGCTTCTCCCACTTCTCACCCCTAGTCCTCGGAGCAGGCCTGGGGCTGTTCCCAAGTGGCCAGGGGAGCCACCGACAGCCAGGCAGGCCTGGGCAGTGGTGCCAGTCGGGGCCATCGTGGAGGCTGGAGGAGCCAAAATGTGAGCCAGTGGCCGCAGCTGGGCCACACAACTCTCAGCTCCCTTAGAAAAGGGCAGGGTCCCAGGAGGGGATGCTGCCCTGTCCCTCCCTCATCCACAGCTTCTCACTGCCGAGGTCTCTCCACAGACTTCTCCAACGTCCTCCTGGCAGGTCAGCCCTGCTCCCCAAAGTGCAAGGCTGGCAGGGGCCGCAGGCTCAGCCCAGATTGCAGGGGAGGGGTTGGTGAAGGACTGAACCCCGTGACAAGGAGCCTGCTCTACTCCCCGTGGCCCATGGCAGGGACACATTGTGATCACTGTCCACAACCTCTTCCCATTTTGGTCTCTTTCTGGCTGGGCCCAGATGGCCCATCGCATCAGGCTTGCCTGGGTTGCGGGGCTGAGGAGGGGCTGTGAGCACAGGCTTGGCCAAGGACCGGTGGCTCTAGCAGCTCCCCAGGAGTGCCATTCCCACTCTGGTCTGTGCAGCCTGTCATTCCACATGCTGCGGTGGGTGCCTGCTCTGTATCTCTGGCCCTGGTGTGTATGAGTGTGAGGCTTGGTTTGGGGGGAGGGGAGGCAAAGGGTTCTTTTTTTTTTTTTTGGAGGTTACTCTTTGGGGTCTCTTAATGGGGGGTTTCCCATCAGCTCTCATTTCTTATGAGGCCCTTGTTCTAGACTCCAGAGCCTTGGCCCTTCCCAGATGTCTTCCTCCACTTTCCTATTGTCCCCCTATCCTAAATGCCACCCTCTAGTCCTTAGGGAGGGCAGTTTTGTAAAATAGAATTCCTTTTATGGAAAGACTCCTGTCCTAGATGTCCACAGGCATCTCATCCCTCATTCTTCCCTTCATTCCTCCCTGAGGTGAGCCTGTCCTCACAGGGGACACCCCAGGACCCCCCTGCACCAGCCTCCCGATTCTTCTGAGTGTCTAGTCAGTCTTTGCTGCAGTGTCAGCCAAAGCTGGCCCTGAACCACTGTGTGCCCATTTCCTAGGGAAGGGGAGGGAGAATAAACAGAATATTTATTACAAATGTTAGAAATATATTTATTATATTAGGAATCTCATTTGCATTTGCATAGATACACAAATGAGATGTCAAGGCTCTTGAATCTCATTTGCATAGCTCTGCACACACTATGCAGTCATCTTTGTACTTTTTCCCCCTTTAGTCGTGTCCTTTTCATCCTTGACTCAGCCTCCCTTGCAACACCCTCACCCTCAGCTTAAGGTGACTGGGAGTGGGAGGACAATGGGGTATTTTTCCTGAGGACTTGAGGCCCTGGAGTTATTTGCCAGTTCCCACCTCCCCTGGGGGGGTCTGGAGGTGGAGGCAGGGAAGGATGTGCTTGGCAGCTGCCCTCTCACTGAAAGACCATGCCAGAGAGCTGGCCCCTGGCCCCTTCCTGTGTATCTCCTGTGCATGCCCAAGAGGCAGGGCTGGGTCCCTCCTCTGAAGCCTCCTACCTCCCTTGCTGAGCGCCCTGCTCCATGACTCTTCAGGACACCCAGCAGGTGGGAGCAGAGGCTGGGAGCATCCTTGGTTCACCTGGCACAAGGCCAGGGTTGGGTTGGAACAGGTGTACATGTCCACCAATTTAGCTCTGTGACTCTGTCCTGCCTCCTCCCATGTGGACTCTTGTATTTGGGAAACCTGAAGAGAATATAGACCCTGCCCCCCATGGTCCACACATCATCCCAGCCCAGTTACCCTTCCTCTGTCCCCTCCTTCAACCATCCAATTCTCGAATTTTTCTCTCTGTTTTTCTTTCTTTTTTTCTTTGATTAAATGTGAAAGCAAATGCTTCTGGGCTCATCAGTCTTTGGCTGGGGTTGGGTGGATGGCAGAAGGCGAGGGCTGGGAGCACAGCACAGAGGATTCCTGCCTCTGTCCATTCCCCAGAAGATGCTCCTTCTAAATGCTTGTGCCTGGGAGTCTGTGAGCATTCAGGGGGCCAAATGACTGAGGGACTCCATGGCTGGTCCATGTGGCTCTACTCAGAAGCTGTGTGCCCTTCAGCAGGCCCCTCTACCTCTCTGGTTCATCTTTTGTGAAGGTGCCATGGACTCCCAGTGGTAACACTAGAATTTGTCCCAGGTGCTGAACACAGGGACGATAGGTGACTGAAATGTCAACCAGTGTGGCAGATCCATCAGGGCTGGGGGGGGGGGGGGCAGCATTCTTTCTGGGATGCTTCTCTTCTAATCATCATGGAGGATTCTCCAAGGAGGCTTTGGTTGCTTGTCTGTAATGGCAAAATGTGGATCCAGCCTCTCCTTGGATTTCTCCAAAGTACCACTCACACTGGGACAAGGGTAGGGCCAACTTAGCTGGTGATTTGGGGGTAGCCATGGGGCCTTAGAACACCCACACCCACCTCAGCTCTGGTGAGAATTTAGCATTGTTTATTAAACACCCCAATTCTGAAGTGCCCTGGCCCTTCCCAGCACGAAGGACGTTTTCCTGGCCAAGCTTTCTCTTTGCGTCCCTTGCCTCCCGCCATGTTGCTGGGCCTTCCCCCTTTCTTCTCTGGTTCCTGGGTACCTTGGCTCCTAAGCTGCCCCTGGAAACTCCCTCTCTTTCCCTCCCCCTCTCTCTCTCTCCCTCTTTCTCCACTTTCCCCGCCCCAAACCCTATGGCACTGGGGTTTGAACCCAAGGACACTTTACCACTGACCTACATTCCCAGTCCTTTGAAATTTTATTTTGAGACGGTTTTGCTAAGTTGCCAAGCTGGCCTCAGACCCGAGAACCTGGATTACAGGTGTGTGCCACTGTGCCCAGCTCAATATTTGCTCAGCAACTCTACTGAGGACAGTTGCATTTCTGTCCCAGTCCAATATTTATCAACTCTGGCTGCACATTAGAATCACCTGGGAGGTGGGTGGAAAAATATAAACCATTACAAGGGCCTCACCCCAGAAAAATTAAATCAGAAGTTCAGGAATGGTTAACCATTGAAGAACCACATCACATCATGACTCACAGCACCTCTCACTGTGCTAACAGTGACCGGGGGACCTAACCTCTTTCCATCTTGTGACACTGTCATCTTTAATGAGTGACTTCATAGTTCACAGGTGTCATAGAAGAGGAAGAGATTACAGAAGGCCACTTATAAATATTATGGGTTATCCCTGTTTGTCCACACTCCATTGGCCAAGGGAGGCTGGGAAATATAGTCTTTCCTTGTGCTCAGGAAATGGAAATAGGATCTTGCCAATCTCTGCAGGGGCTGAGAGTGGAGACTGGGAAATGTTTTAAAAGGTCCGCAAGTGGTTCAAATACGTAACAAGTTTGCTGAGCACTGTTAGTCCATTTGTGCCGACCCCTCGGGGTAGGGGGAAATTTGTTTGTATCTTCCAGTTGGCACGAAAGCCAACTGTTTTTTGAAAAATCCTTTCCCCATTTTGGTCCAGTAGCATGTGGTCAGTATGGCAGAATGGATTCTTATCATGTTGTAGTTGGGAATCTATAGAGAGGTGAAGAAGTTTGTCCATTGTCATGTGGAAAGTTCTTAGCAGAGCTGAAGCAGACCCTAGTCCTCCTGACTCTCAGTCAGGAGTGCTGGCCCCTATGCTGCCTCCCAGAGATGGATCCAGATTGACCAGCTTTTGGGGGAGGGATGCTTGGTAAAGAAGGCACTTTGGAGGCAAGAACATGGAGTAAAAGGGGAGTCATAAGGGAGGACATGAGATACTTTGTCATCCCCAAAGTTAGCTCTTCCAAGAGATCCAAGCTCTCTAAGAGGCCGACGGCACCAGTAATCTACAGTTCACCCTGGAGTCCCAGACCCCATTCCACCTCCCTCAGGGTTGGGTCTGGTGGTGACTACAGACCTCTGGAAGAGACAGGTGCAGACTGTGCAAGGTGCACAATCAAGCTTATTCCAATGGTTTATTTATCTTGTTCTAATTGCCAATATCACAGTTTTAATTACTTAGAGGTTTCTATGTGTGTGTGTGTGTGTGTGTGTGTGTGTGTGTGTGTGTTTTGTACTGGGAATTGAACTCAGGGGCACTCAACTACTGAGCCACATCCTCATTCTAGTTTGTATTTTATTTGGAGACAGGGTCTCACTGAGTTGCTTAACACCTTGTCATTGCTGAGGCTGCCTTTGAACTTGTGATCCTCCTGCCTCAGCCTCCCAAGCCACTGGGATTACAGGTGTTCACCACCACGCCCAGCAAGATTTCTTTTTCTTTTCTTCTTCTTCTTCTTCTTTTTTTTTTTTTTTTGGTGGTGCTGGGTATTGAACCTAAAGCCTTGTGAATGTTAGACAAGCACTCTACCAACTGAGTTCTATCCCCAGCCCCATTTCTATGTTTTAAAACTACCTGATTTCAGGGCATATTACAAGTAACCAAGATATTGCAGTCTATTACAGTAACCAAGACAGTGGAGTATTGGCATGAAGAGAGAGAGATAGCAGAGCAGAGGAGAAGAGTCCAGAAATAGACGCACACAAATGTGTCTGATGATTTCAAGGAGATGGAATGGCAATTGAGTAGATGAAGGCTGGGACACCTTTTCAACAAATGGTGCTGGAACAGTTGGATGTGTGCAAACAAAAGGGAAATGGGGTGGTGGGAGGTGCTCACTCATGCTTGGCATGTGTGAGTCCCAGATTTTGACTGCCAGCACCAGAAGGAAGAGGAAGAAGAGGAGGAGGAAGAAGAGGAGGAGAAGAACTTTGCATGTATATGAAAATTAGCTCAAGGTCAATCATAGGCCTAACGTAAACCCCCAAACTATTAAACTTGTAGAAAAAATAGGAGAAAATCATGTGCCTTTGGGTTAGGCCAAAATTTCTTCAGTTCAATATCAGAAACATGATCCATAGATCATGACAAATTGAACACCATCAAAATTTAAAACTTTGGCCCCATGAAAGACATTAGCAAAGGAGTGAAAAGGTAAACTACACACCTGGAGATTTTCATAAATCACATATTTGATAAAGGACTTGCTTCCAGACTATTTAAAGAACTCTCAATAAAAACAGGTAAAAGATTTTAACCTAATTTTCAACAAAGAAGATATGTGGATGGCAGATAAGCACATAGAGACCATTTAGTCATTGGGGAAATACAAATTAAAATCACAGTCTTGGTACCATTTCTATACCTGTTATATGGTGAAAAAGATCAACTATAGCAGATGTTAAGATGTGTAAGAACTGAAATTCTTCTTCTTCTTTTTTTTTTTTTGGTACAGGGGATTGAACCCAGGTGGCACTTAAATACTGAGCCACATTCCCAGCCCTTTTTATTTTTGATTTTGAGACACAGTCTTGCTAAGTTGCTGAGGCTGGCTTTGAACTTGCGTTCTTCCGCCTCAGCCTCCAGAGATGCTGGGATTATAGGCATGCACCACCACACCCAATGGAACTGAAATTTTTTCACATAGTTGGTGGAAATGTAAAATGTTACAGCCACCTTGGAAAACATAAGCATATACCTTCCATATGACCTAGATTTTTTAAATGTTTTGCTGGGGATAGAACCCAGGGCCTCATGCATGCTAGACAAGTGCTCTACCACTGAGCTACCCGCAGCTCTAACCTAGACCTACTCCTAGATTTTTACCTAAGTGACAGTACAGAAAAACTGAATAAGAAAGTTCATAGCAGTTCTGTTTTTAGTAGCCCAAACTGGAAACAATCTAAATTTCCATTCACTGGTGAATTCAGGTGGGAGTGGGGGAGGGACAGGGTTAAAAAAGGACAAAAGAAAACTTTTGGGGTGATGGATATATTCATTATTTTGATTATGGCAACTGTTTCACAGATGTATTCATATATATTGGACTTATCAGATAGTATACTCTAAACATGTACAATTTATTACATGACACCTGTACCTATAAAAGCTATTAAAGATAGTAATTAACAATGACATGCAGATTGTTGAAAGAAAGAAAGACGAAAAGATAATATCCTGCAAGATAGGAGGGAGTGATGGGATTTAACAGGTTTTGGGATCCTGTAATATTGGAGGAAAGATTCGAGAATATTAAAATACAAGCAGCTGTGTGTGTCTATAGATTCTGCATCCACTGATCCAACCAACCTCGGATTCAAGCAGCTGCAGCTAGAAAATAATTGAAAAGAATTGGCATCCATACTGAACACATACAAATTTTTTTCCTTGTCCTTATTCCCTAGACAATAGAGTATGATAAATACCCAAGCATTTACATTGTATTAGGTATTGTAAATGATCAAGAGATGATTTAAAACAGACTAGAGGATGCAAGTAGGTTATATGCAAGTAGTAGGCTATTTTATATAAGGGACTTGACCATCTGTGGATTTTGGTATCAATTCCTCAAGGATACTGAGGACAACTGTATTAATTGTAGTCTTTGTTGAGAATGCAGAAAAGTTCAAGATTAGAAAGGGGGGATAAACTGGCATGGAAGTGGGAGACTGAGGCAGGAGGATCCCAAGTTCAAGTCCAGCCTAAGCGATTTAATGAGACCTTGTCTCAAATTAAATAAATAAATAAATAAGGGCTGGGGATATAGCTCTGTGCTAGAGCTCACTTCCCTATACCACAAAATTAAACAAACAAACAAATAAATAAAAATAAATAGTAGATACAGCCTTCATATTGTAGAATCTGAAAGAATGGTGATGAAATTGAACAATAATACAAACAATTTGGGACTGGGGGTATGGCTCAGTGGTAGAGCACTCTCCTCGCACATGCAAAGTCCTGGGTTCGATCCTCAGCACCACATATAAATAAATAAATAAATAAAAGTTATTGTGTACAACTACAAAAAAAAATTAAAAAATAGTCATTGTTTTTAAAAAAATAATACAAACAATTTAATTTTTAAAAGACAAGAAGGAAAATGAGAAAAGAGCCACTTGTTTTCAGCCTGCGCAGTTGCAGCCCATGTGATCCATTCCAAATGGGCAGAGATGTTGCCTTTGTACCAGGCTTGGGGGCCCCAGCCTCAGCCTCAGACCCAGTCATGTGGTGCCCCTCCCAGCTGCCAGCAGTAAGGCTGGTCACAACCCCAAAGTGCCATTGGCAGGGATGCGACTTCCTTCCTGCTGGGGACACTTCCCAAAGCTCCTCCCACCCCCATGCAACATTAGGTCTTCGGGTCTCCCTGCTTCCTTTTCTTCTTCCCCTTCAAGTCTCTGAGCCACCTTTGCGGGGGATTTGCAAAACCTTTTCTTAATGGGCCTCAGTGGATTAGAGTCGTAATATCCAGTTCTCTGTCAGAGTCAGGACAGAGGGGAGGCCTCAAATCTCCCGGTTTTTCTATCAATACTTTCTTTTGTGTTAAGGTGTTTTTTTTTAAGAAATAAATGGCGGGTAGGGGGGTGCTGGGACCTGTGCCTGTAATCCCAGCAACTCAGGGGGCTGAGGCAGAAGGATCAGTTTTTGCAATTTATCGAGACCCTAATCTCAAAATAAAATTTTAAAAAGGGCTGGCAGATAGAACACATGCTTGCCTAGAGGCTCTGGGTTGGATCCCCAGTAACACACACACACACACACACACACACTCACACACACACTAAAATGAAGAAAAATACATTAAAAATAAAAATAAAATAGAGAGACATTCTCTCCCTCTGACCTGGCACTTCCATATATGCAAATCCATCTTAAAGAGATCTCCAAGTGGAGACAAAGCGCTGGGCAAAGAATCATTATGCTTTTATTGGTTATGGTAAGAACAGAAGCAAATTAAATAGCTAGTGATAATCAGTTAAATAAATCAAGGCACACCAATACAATGAAATATTATGCAGCTGAAAAACATTTTATAAAAGGTTTATACAAACTTGGAGAAATGCTCATGGTATAATAATTAAGTGGGAAAAGCAGGATGCAAAGTTGTATGTGCAGGATAAATACTCTGCTAAAAAAACAGCAGCAAATTATATAGAAGAAAAGAGAGGAGAGGGGAATTCAACATCCTCAAGGGGAAATCAGGATCATCTTCAGGTAGTGGCGAGATTATGGGTGTCTTTTTTCTTTCTTCTTTGGCCAACCCCCCCCCCCCACCACCCCCACTTTTTTTTTTTTTTTTTTTTTTAGCATTCTCATCTCATTTTGTTTGTTTGTTTGTTTGGTACCAGGGATTGAACTCAGGGGCACTCATACTGAGCCACATCCCAGCCCTATTTTGCATTTTATTCAGAGACAGGGTCTCACTGAGTTGCTTAGCACCTCCTTATTGCTGAGGCTGGCTTTGAACTGATGAGTCTCCTGTCTCAGGCTCTGGAGCAGCAGGGATTACAGGCATCTCATTTTTACATCTCATTTTTTAAAAAGAAAAATGTTTTGCTACTGCAGCTGCCTCCCGCTTCTTCAGGGTGCTGGACTCAGGGTCATCCTCAAGCTCCTATCCCGTTCCCTTCCTCCTCCCTTTTATCTAAAAGATGCCCACTTGCATTCTGGTTTTCTGCTCCTCTCTTGGCTACCACCCATGGAATATTAAACCTTTCTAGAAAAGAAAGGAGTCAAGTTTTTCTCTAGCATCTTCCAAAGGCAGGAATACAAGGCTAGGTAGGGAGAATGGAAAGGTGGTCCCTCCCTGACAGTTCTGGGTTGAATGTTTCCAATGTGCACTTGACCCAGGAAGGGAATTTGGGACTTGGGAAAGTCGCAAGAACCCCTTCCCCCTCCCCCCCCCACCTTGGGTCATGGTGTCAGTAGCTCCTGTAGGGAACATGTAGGAGACCCCAGGCACTAAATACAGACTCTCAAGGGTCTGAGGATATCAGGCCCACTGGGCCTTCGCACTCAAGTATAAGAATTGTCAGGGCACTTGTTAGCCCGGCCTTGGGGATGGTTTCCGGTGGGTCTCCTAGGGGCCCAGGAATCACATTTGAATTAGCTTACTGAAGGGCTGAGCTACAGGGGATTCACAGCATGCTTTGAGAAACGGAAATCAGGGCTCAAACCTAGAATGTTCCCTCCTCTCAGCAGCTGATGGAGGAGAATTTGAGGGAGGAGAAGGCAGTGTGGGGGATGGGGGTGGTGGTTGGGATTTGCTGGAGTGGATACAAACTCAGCCCAGATCTGCTGAGCCCTGCTTGACCCAGATGAGGGTCCACAGCTGTGTGTCCTGCCCAGCGATGCGAACATGCTGGGGAGGTCCCAGCCTTGTCCACGGCTGACAAACACTTCTAAGTCATGCTGGGACACGTAGGAAGGGAGCCTGGGGAGGGGGGCTGAGTCCTGGAGTGTGGGCAGATGGACTCTGAGGTTATGGCAGAAAGCTCATGAGAGTTAGTGCAAATCCAGCCATTCAGTTTCACCATCGGCCTGGCCAGGAGAGCCTTCTACAGTTACACTGAGATGAACTTGGAGAAACCCAGCTCCTCCTCAGACATCAGGGGCAGAGGCTCTGGGATTGTGCTTTCCGTGGGGTCCAGGGAAGGGGCTTCCGGTTCCTCTGTAGTCTGAAAAGACAAGAGTAGGGTTGAAAAGCAGAGCCTGGGAGTGGGGTGAGGGGTCTCCAGGCAGCTGCTGTGTTCAGCCCAGCCTTTTCTACACGATCGGGGTCTCTGTCCATCTGCAGGAGCAGGAGGACCCACAGATTCTCTCCAGAGACTCCAGGCTTTGATTCCTGCCTCCTCTGCACCCCCTGCCATCCTCCTCCAGAGAGCATCCTCATGGCCTCAGGCCAGGTCCAGGCCACAGGAGTGAGAATCCTGCCAACCTAGAGCTCTTAAGGATGACTCCCAACAAGCTATGAAAGAATTTTCTGGACAGGGAAAATGAGGACATGAGGGCAAGTGCCCTGACTTCCCAGAAGAAATGGCCTTAGATAGGGTGGGTGGGTGAATGGGAGAGTGTGGTCTTCGAGGAGAGGAGGCTGAGGAAAAAGCTCTCCCTGTCCCTCCCCTGACAGAGAGAGTGGTGTCAGACAATGTGGCTCTAGACTCGGAGCCCTTCAGTACACACCTGGTTTAGGCACAGGGTCTCCTTGTAGGGGCTGGCAGAGGATTCGGGGCTGGTGAGAGGCTCAGTGGGTCCTGACAGGTTGATCACAGCTTCTTCAGGGACCCAGCTGTTCCCCAGGGGCTGTGAGAGAGACTTGGTCAGAACAGCCTATTCTTGGCAGAGGGATGGTCCAGGAGCCAGGAGGAGGGGAACTAGCACAGGATGGGGTGGGGGTGGCAGGGAGGGGTAGGGAAGAACACTTAGCTCCGCAGAGGCTCTGCCAATTCCTACACCTCAGGGTGCCCTGGGACAAGCTAGCTAACTCTCCAAAGCTCAGTTTTCCTCGACTGTAAAACAGGAGTAAGAATTTTTTCCTTTATTGGGCACACTGGTTCACACATGCAATCCCAGCTACTCAGGAGACTGAGAGAGGAGGATCGAAAGTTGGAGCCCAGCTTGGGCAAATTAGTGAGATCCTGTCTCAAAATTAAAAATAATGGCCAGGCACCATGGTGAACATCTGTAATCTCAGTATCTCTTGAGGTCGAGGAAGGAGGATTTGCAAGTTCAAAGCCAGCCTTAGCAACTTAGCAAGGCCCTAAGCAACTTAGTGAGACCCTGTCTCAAAATAAAAAAAATAAAAAGTGCTGGGGATGTGGATCAGTGGTTAAGTGCCCCTGGGTTCAATCCCCAGTACCATTAAATAAATAAATAAATAAATAAATAAACAGATATAGGGATGGTAAAGCATCCCTGAGTTCAAACCCCAGTGTGGGAAAAAACAAATAACAACAAAAACTTTTTCCCTGCAGAGATAAAATAACTATTCACATAGTATCTTATCACCCAACAAATGAGAATTTTTGGTGTGTTTTATTATGTTATTCCTATCCTTTAAAGCAGAAAGAATAAGCCGGCTACATGTTCTTTGTAATGCCTAGAGAGAGCAAAGCTAGACACCTTCAAGTTTCATTGGGTAACAAATGGCACAGGAGACATTTTGTCTGTAGCCATCCCACACTGAGGGACCAAGGGTGGGTCTTTCTCAGCAGTCTGGGAGACCAGTCTTGGGCCATGGACTTGGCTCCTTTCTTCCAACCCCTTGTACTTCAACATGGAGGGTGCAAGAAGTGCAGAGCTTTGCAGCCAGCCCAGAGTCCTCAGGTAGTTTTCCTGTTCTGTCTCTTTCAGGCTGGACAGCTGCAGGCAAGTCGTTACCCTTTCTGAACCTCCTTTTCTTTGCTGGTAAAGTGAGGGAAATAATGACAGCCACCTTATGTAGGAATGATGAGGATTCAAGGATGTAAAGCCGGTGACACAGTTCAATAAAAGATTAAATGAATGAAAGGAGGGATGACAATCTCTAGCAACATCTCCTTGGGGAGGGAAAACGCTAGTGTGACCCTAACACTTCCCTCTGATTTTTCAAGCCCCTTGGGCTCTCTTGCAGGAAAAGTAAAATGTCTCCTTCCCTCTTTGACCTGAATGTGGGCAAGGAAAACCCCTCAATGTTTTCAAAATCCCAGAGAATCCAAAAGGTAGAGAAAGCCCTCCCCTGGCCTCTGTTTCCATCCTCCTCCCAACAAGGAGCCACCTACTTAGATATAGAAAATGACAAACCCCCCAAATACTGAGACCTGGGGAAAGGGGAGGAAGAAGGAAAGCCATACACTGAGAGCACTGATCCTTTCCCAGCACATTCTTTCCTGGTGATAGAACCAACCCTGGGGAGAGATGTCCATCAGACCTAGAAAGGAAGACCCTGGGAACAGGCCAAAGCATAGTCCCTGCCTAAACAATTCCTTTCCAGATACCAACCACTGACCCCTGGCCCTCCATCCGGCCCAGTAAGATAAATCCCAGAGACTGACCTCCGACCACAGACTCCCTCCCATTTTGCCCAGTAAAACAGACCCCAAATTCCTGAGTGCCACAGCTGACACGCTCATTAATTAAGTCACCTCTTTTATAACCTATGTAAGCCCAATCCCCTCCTTTGTTCAGTGGCTCATTTTCCACCCAGACAGTGGGTCCAGAGGTGTCACCCCATTACTGCTCCCCTCCCCACCCCCATCCTGCATGAAACTTTGTTCCTGAATAAAGAGCTGATCTGTGAAGTTTGTGTCTGGCCAGTCTTTTTTGGGCTAATGCCATCCCTCAGAGCTCCTCTGCCTACCGGTCCTGGGCTCTGTCCTGGGGCCACATCATCTGGGCCAGACAGATGCCTCAGACAAGAAGACAGACGTGCAAGTTGGCTCAAAGGCAGGGAAAGTGTGGTGCTGGGTACACATGTCAGTCCGCACACCCTGGTGCCTGATGGAGAGCTGAGGCCTGGGTGCTGAGGGCAGGCCAGAGGCGGGTCTGTGAAGGGAGGCTGTTCTTCAAGACTCTCCCCTCACTCCCCTCTTCACCTTTGGCCTTGTCCAACTTCCTGAGACAACAGCAGCTGCTTCCTAAGCCATTCCTGCCCAGCCCTTTCCTGAGGGGGTCGGGCCTGAGTCTTTTGTCCTCATTGGCGCCAGGAAAGAAGGGATTAGGAGCCCCCTTTCCTGCCCTGAGTCTGAGGGAATCCAAATTGGAGGTGCCTCAGTAAACAACTGGAGGGGGGTTGGTGACCCAGCGTGAGGCAGGTGGGGTTCCGGTTTCCTGGACCGATTCTGTACCCCCCCCAATAATAACATTGTCCTGTTAGGGCACTGTCCCACCCCACAGAAGTTGGTGAAGGGTCCTGGAGCAGTACCCTCAGGGCAGGTTCCCCTCTCCAGGAAGATGGGAATGGGACCCCCATTCCATCTGCCTCCTGGTCCCCAGAGCATCACCCTCAGCCTGGGTCCCAGGACAGTTATGCTACCTTGGTCTCAGAGCCAAGGAAGGTTCGGAGAAGACATCAGGTAACTCTGGAAAGAGGAGGGATGGGAATTGAGAGATCTGGTTCCTGTTCTCCACTGTGTCGTGGTCTTCTGTGTGACCTTGGGCAACATCTTCGCCCTCTCAGGGCCTCAGTTTCTTTCTTTTTTTTTTTTTTTTTGCAAAAGCACACTAGAGTCTGTAATTGCCACACTCTGGTGTGCTGGACCCAGCCCTAGAGGGATTAGCACAGGCCTGGACAGTGCATTTCTAAGAGCTCTCTCACCCCTAGGTACTAACGGGTAAAATGGGATTTGCGTTGGATTTAGAGAAAAACTGGATTAGCCAGGCTCAGTGGTGCATGCCTGTAATCCCAGTGACTCAGGAGGCTGAGGCAGGAGGATTACAAATTTGAGGCCAGCCTCAGCAACCTAGGGAGGTCCTAAACAACATGGTGAGACCCTGTCTCAAAAAAAAGAAAAGGACTGGGGATGTAGCTCAGTGGTAAAACACCCTTGGGTATGTCAAAATATACTCTAGTTTCATATATACCTAAAAACAAAAACAAAGAAAAAGAAAAAGAAAGAAAGAAAACACCCCTGGGTTCAATCCCCAGTGCAAAAAGGGAAGGATGGGGAGGAAGCCTGGGACCCAGTTCTGATGTCCTCTGATTCTGAAAAGGTGATGAGAACAGGGTATAGGGCCTGGGGGAGACACATTCTAGTGGATCCTTGTACCCCTCTGCCTGGCACCTGGTAGGAAATCAGGGGTGATAATGGGCACTCTGTCCAGATCATATCCTGAAGGGTTGATCTCGGGGCTCACAAGGATTAGAGAGCAAGCCCTGCCTCTGGGGTCAGGAGGAAGACAGAGGTGGGCAGAGCCCAGCAGATCTCCAGCCCCAAAGGAATCCCAGCTGGTACTTTTGTCTGCCTCTGTCCTTACCAGGGTTGGGAGATGGACCTTCTCATTCTTTTGGGTCTCCAGGGCCAGCTGAGCTGAAAGAGATGTGAAAGGCATTATCTTGAAGCCAGGACCAGTCAGGAAGAGCCTGCAGCTGCTATCAGAAAAAGCACTAAACCCTCACACTTGGGAGCAGGGACTTTCTGTAAGAATCTGTCAGGTGGGTGGGGAACAGGAAGTCCCGTGCAGCTCAGTCCCTTGGGAATGAGTCTCCTTTTGGAGTTAGTAAATGGAGATCTCTTTGTGTGGGCCAGGAAGTAACTGGGAAATTAATCTATGAGCCAAGGTCATTGCTTCTCAAAACTTCCATGTGCATAAGGCTGCTATAGCTTGGGTCTTTAGTGTCCCTCAAAAGATCATGTATTGAAGGACTGGTCCCCAGCTTGGTGCTATGGGGAAACCTTTAAGAGATAGAGCCTAAATCAGGTGCAGTGGCACATCCTGTAGTCCTGGCTAATGGGAGGCTGAGGCGGGAGGATCCCAAGTTCAGGGCCAGTATAGCTCACTTAGTGAGACTCTGCCTGCCTCAAAAGAAAAAAAAAAAAAAAAGTAAAATGAAAAGGGCTTGGGATGCAGCTCAGTGGTAGTGTGTGAATCTAGCACGTGTGAGCTCCTGGGTTTAATCCCCTTTACTGAAAGAAAAAAAAATGGGTTGGGGCCTAGTAGGAATATTTATGTCATTGGAGGTGTGCCCTCATTGTCTTTCACTTCTTGTCTACAAGGTAATTAGTAACAAGGTGACCCTTGTTCCTGCCATGGTGTGCTGCCTTGTCACTGGACCAAAGGAAGAGGGTCAACTGATCATGGACTAAAGCCTCTAAAACTGTGAGCCAAAATAAACCTTTTCTCTTTATAAGTTGATTATCTCAGGTTTCTGTTATAGTGACGGAAGGCTGACTAACACAAGAACCCCCCCCAGAAATTTTCTTAAAATGCAGATTCTAATTCAGTAGGGTGGGGCTGGGCCCGAAACTCTGTTCTAGCAGGTACCAGAGAATGCCAGGGCTGCTAGCTGGGGACTTGGAGAGGTAAGGTGCTAAGTGGCTCTGAGGTTGTGACCAGGAATAGTCTGATCCTGTATGTTCCCTCCCAGACATCTCTGAAGGATCTGGGAATATTGACAAAATTGCCATTTCATCCTGAAGGTCATGCAGGAGATAGCAAGCAGGCCCAGGACACTCCCAGGGCCTCTTTCTTTGGGATGCCATTGCAGATATCTTCCTGGCTCCATCACTTTCTAGCTCTCAAACAATAGGGCAAGCTGCTTAATCATCCTGTGCCTCAGTTTTCCTCCCTGTAAAATGGGGGTACTCCACAGTACTGAGATGATTACAGCATTATAAACTGCGGGATAGCATCTGTAGCTCTTATTAGTTTTATTTCACTTAATCCTCTTGATCTGTATCATCCCGCATGGGAAGCAGGAGCCATAAGCCACACATGGCCATTGAGCACCAGACCATGACTACTTCAAATCATACCAGGTTTCAAGAAAAAAATATGACAAAATGAATGTCTTGCTATGTTGTCCAGGTTGGTCTCAAACTTGAGATCCTCCTGCCTCAGCCTCCCAAGTACCTGGGACTATAGGTGTGAGCCATCAAACCTTTCATTAGTATTTTTATATTGATTTCTTGTTGAACTGACTGTTACATAAACTATATTATTAAAATTAACTTCGGGCTGGGGTTGTGGCTCAGTGGTAGAGGGCTCACCTTACACGTGCGAGGCCCTGGGTTCGATTCTCAGCACCACATACAAACAAATAAATAAATAAAGGTCCATCAATAACTAATAAAAATATTTAAAAAAATAAAATAAAATTAACTTCACTAGTTTCTTTACTTTTTTCCATGTAATTTTAAATTATATAGGTGGCTTATATTCTGTTTCTATTTGACATATATCTGTCATTTGAGGAAACTGAGGCTCAGGGCATTTAGTTTCTTGCCTAAGGTCATGGAGCGAATAAGTGGCTGAACTAGGATTTAAACTTAAGCCTATGAAAGGAACTGAGCACCTCTAGAGGTGCAGTGGCGGTCCATCTCAGGACGCAATGTCTGTCCTGTTCAGGTTCAAGTGCTCAGTCTTGCACCCCACCCCGGTCAGTTCCCATATGGGGAGCTGGACATGGATTTGCTGGATCAAAAGGGAGAGAAGTGATTGATGAGCTTGGCCAGAACCCCCTTCTCCTCCCACTCCCCATTTAAATTGCTTCTTTCTGTTGCTGACTGCCTTACAGTTTCCAGAAAGTAACATCTGGGTTCTGGATCCCATATCCCAGACAGACACACTAATCCACAAGTCTTCCCAGGGTGGGTGAGGGACTGCAGGTCTCAGTGAGGTCCCTGGCTATGAGCCTCCCACCCACTTGCCCTTGCTCACCTTTCTTTCTCCACCGGAGTAAGAGGCTCCCAGAGGCAATCAGGCCTGCAGCCAGCAGAAGGGACAAGAGCACCAGAACCGGGGCCAATATTCGGACCATTGGGATGGACACCCTGGGGGCGAGATGCATGGAGCCTGGTGGCTGTCACCAGAGAAGGTATCTGTATCCTTGGGGCCCATGTGGAGGCTGGGAAAATCAACTCCTAGTGTGAAATCTAATTCAATGTGACAAAGACTGGCAGAGCATTTGATGCCATTGGCTCTCTACGGACATTATTTAATTAGCTCAGATCCTGAAGCTGGGCTGCCTGGGTTCAAACCCTGGCTCTGCCAATTTCTAGAAGGGTGACCTTGAGCAAGTGACTTAACCTCCCAGAGTATCAATTTCCACCTTTGTCAAATGGCTCTCATGAAGATCAGTTGGGATGTGTATACACACACACACTCACACACACACATGCACACACACACACCATGCACCATGTCAGCTGTTAAATTCATCCCATGTCATTTGGTAGGAACAGCCTAATTTCACATTGAAGAAAATGACTTGCTAGTTAAGTGACTCGCTAAATCACACAGGGCATGTGGGAAAGTTCTCATGGCCCACGTCTGGCACCAACATACTAGGCAACAGGGAATTCTGATTCTGACTCTAGGTCCCTTGTCTCCAAGAGGTTAGAGTGTGCCAGGGATCACAGCATCTAGTTACCCCATCATCTATGCCCTGTCTGGGCTGGAAAGGACCCTTAGTCCCTGCTGTCAACCCCATAAGACACTTGCATGTGAGTCTGAACCTGCTAGCAGTGACCTACAAGTCAGGAACCGAATGCATACGCACTTGGGTATAAGCCCAGAACCCTTTCTTCAGGCTGGGACTCCATCTGGGTAAAGAAAAAAAATTAGGGTGGAGGGTTCCATACTGTCATGCACTGCATAGGGCTCAGGCAAAAACTACTCATCTGGGGTGACCCACTGTGAGGCCGGTGGAGAGGTGGGGACTGGGGCTAGGGCAAACTCATCACCTCGGGTGGGCCGGTGTGTTCAGGGCAGCAGGGCTGTGGGATCCTGCACTGCAAGACATGCACTGCTCAGGCTAAAAGCCCCCATGCGGGGCAGATAGGGGCTGAAGTCTGTCTTGTGCCACAGGATATGGCCATGACAACAGGAGACATTGGTTTGGAAGAAAGAGTGTTAGGGGCTTATTGGCTCAAAGGTGTCTTATGATTTAGTGATGGCCTGAAGGGTGACCTTGGCCACCTGGACTCACCTGGACCTGGAGCTGTGGCTGATGGGGACAGGACTGGTGTCCTCTGCCAGGGTGGAGTCCAGCGGCATGGGTGGGCGGGAGCTCCCTGCATGAGGAGAGGTCGCTGTGTGAGCAGAGGTTCCTGCATACGGAGAGGTTCCTGTGTGTGTGGACGTTCCTGCATGCTGCCACGGGACTGTCCCTGTGACGGGAGAGGCCTCAGTCCCTGTCTTCCCCTGCTTGGCTGTGGTGACTGCCAGGTGGAGATCAGGAGGAGCTACAAGTTCAAAAGCAATGCCTCAGCACCTTCCCTGACCCTTGAATCCCAATCTCCCTGACTGACCCTTGACCCCTGAACCCTAACCTCCCTGGGACCAATTTCTCAGAGCATTTCCTCAGCAAGAAGAAGTCTAGATGAGGCGATTTTGAGTAAGCAGACAATATATCAGGCACCCCTGTCCCCACTGCCATGACCTAGTCCAGCATCACTCCATTGGTACCTTCCTGCTCCTGTCCCCTAGCAGTCATGGCCGACTGTCACCTCCTCCCTCACTGGACTGGCAAGTTCTCCTATCACCATCACATGCTCCTGCCACCTGTAAGGTCCTGACCTCCTTCAACAGCCGGAGGCCAGCAGGGCAGTGTGGCAGGGATGAGTTCAGTGGTCAGGGCCGAAGGCCGGGCCTTTCTGGCTCACCCTCCACTCCACAGATGAAGCAGACAGAGAATGACCTTTGGGGTCAGGATGTGGCCACTTCCTGGCTCTGTTAACTCCCATGCCACCTTAAGCAAGTGATCTAACCCCCTGAGCCTCTAGTTTCTCAGCTGGACAATCTGGCTCCCAGGCTTGTTGGGGGCACCTGGATGGTGATAAAACACAGCTTCTGGCACCAGGTGGACACTCACTGGAGAGTTCCTGAGATAGAGGTGGAGGAGGGAAGCCGCTCACTCACTCAGTGCTGGGGGCTGGGTTTGCCGGGCTTTTGCCTGGGGCTGCAGGCTTGCTGTAGACAGAGGCTGCAAGAAGAGAGTTGGGGAAGGGGGGCAGCAGGGTCCTAGAGGAGAGGGAGAGGCTGTTCTCAGAGAAGGGTCCAACCAACCCTTTCACCTTTCCTGGGAGCATCTGGCAGCATCTCGGCAGGCGCAGAGCCACACCCTCTTCTCATCTCAGCCAATTGGAACCAGGTCCTGGTGTCTTTCCCTCCTGCAGTCCCTGCTGCCCCAGTTTAGCTTAGACTTCATCTCTCTTGCCTCTCAGCTGCCCATTAGCCTGCTGCTTTAGCATGACTTTTTCTTTCTTTCTTTTTTTTTTTTTTTGGTACTGGGGATTGCTTAACCACTGAGCCACATCCCCGTCCCCTTGTTTTATACTTTATATAGAGACAGGGTCTCACTAAGTTGCTTAGGACTTTGCTAAGTTGCTGAGACTGGCTTTAAACTCACGATCCTCCTGACTCAGCTTCCTGAGTCACTGAGATTACAGGTGTGTACCCCTGTGCCCAGCATTGTAGCATGTCTTTTAAGGCCTTTTAAACTCAAGTCTTTAAATCACCAGTGCCCCAGCCACACAGAGCTGCCCTCTATTCCTGAATGCATAAGCCTCCTGCTTGCTGCTGTGCCTTCCACACGCCGTTCCTCTGTGTGTGTGATGCCTTTCCTTTCCATCCCTGCCTAACACACTTCTTTATGTCCTCCAGCACCAGATCAAAGGTCAGCTCCTGCTCAATATGGAGGGGCAAATCCCCTTTTCCTTTGGGTACTGGCAGTACCCTCCAGGGGAGGCACCTTCAGGGAAGCTAATAATTACCCTGCAATTATTCCAAATGGGTCTCCCTACTAGGCTGGGACCCGTGAGGGCAAAATCCTATCCTCAGTGCCCAGTACCCCAGGAGCTGCTAAGCTCCCCTATGTCCATCAGTGGCTCACCGGTCCTTTCTGACTATGACCAGCTGGGAATCTCCCTCTTTCTCTGCCTGTCTTTATTCTAATACTAGGTTACTTTATTCTCGGATTTTTCTAAGTAGATAACAAAATCTTCTGTAAATAAAGAGTATTTATCTTTTGCTTTTCATATTTATAATTCTCTCTCTTGTCACATTCTATTGCCTAGAGCCTCCAGGCAATGATGAATGAAAGAAATGACAGTGAGTGCACTTGTCTTATTTGGATCTTTCTAGAAATTCTGCTAAATATTCCATCATATTCAATAAGAAGATGTCTCTCATTGGCTTTGGAAACTGATTGTTAACTTTTGGGGAATTTTGTAAGCTGGCTGCTAAACATGGTAGACAGAAACTGGCCAGAGCAGGACCATTTATACCACAGAAATTGGCAAACACTATAACTCAGAGTGTCCTCAGCCTGCTGTTAAACATCTACCAGCACACACTGTTATAGGCCCTCTTCATTTTCAGTATCCCAAATGTCACCAGAGGGAGGCCAACAAGGTCTGACACAGGAAGATAATACAATAATGCATACATTATACACAGAGAAGTAACTATGAGTGAGGAAAAGTAGCAAACACACGAGAGCCTCAAAAATAGGTGAACTTAATCACAACTAGGTAAAAATGAGGTCTGAGGGGGTTGTGGCTCAGTGGTAGAGTGCCTGCCTAGCATTGGTGAGACACTGGGTTTGATCCTCAGTATCACATAAAAACAATAAATAAATAAAGTTATAAAAAAAATGAGGTCTGAATACTGACAAGAATTCAAAGAGATCAGAGATTCTTGTAAATAACAGAAAACAGATTGTGTGTGTGTGTGTGTTTGTGTGTGTGTGTTTTCTGCAGTGCTGGGGATTGAACCCAGGGCCTTATGCATGCTAGGTGAGTACACCCCCAATCCTTATTAATGTAGTTTCAAAGCTGCTATTATTCAGTGAGCTGATTTTCCTAAATTAAAACAGAGACCCATGGGCAACAGAGATCTAGGCCCAGATATGGGCCCATGAGAGGAAATGAACAGAACAAAAGCCCACCATGAACTGCATTTGAACCATAGCTATACCACTTCCTGCCATGAGGCTTTGGTCTCTTAGAGAGATCAAATCATTGAGTCTCTTGGAGCCTCGGTCTCCCATCCTTTAAGTGGGGGTTCAAAGACCTACCTTGCCCCCTCTGACCAGCAGCACACCGGGGCTGCCCGTGGCCCTGAGCCCTCTCTGGCTTCTTTTCTCTTTGACCAGCAGCTCCAGGTGAGATTCTTGGCCCTGAGAGAGGTGCTCCATATCTATGGCTCCAGCCACGGCTCCCTAATGTCCTCAAGCTCAAAGAGTCCCTCTTTCAGGCATCTGACCCAGGGCTGGTTCCCAGGCACACCTAGCATCTGTCTCTGGAATTGAAGATCTGGGAAAGAGGAGGCCAAGCTGGGAGCTGAGCCCTCAAACTGGGAGGAACCAGCATGGCCACAGCTTAGGTGATGCCATGGGTTGGGTCTGGGAGGCAGCGATGGCTGGCTCAGCCTCAGGAGGCTGCAAGAATATCTCTGACACCAGGGGAAGGTTGGGGAGGGGAAGGTCTTGTTATTCTTTGGGATGACCATCTTGTCCCCAGTCCATAGCCATCTCCTTTCAGGCAGAGAAGAAAGGCAATGAGCAGAAAGCTGAGTCCCCACTGCAACTCAGAACTTGATCAAAATGATGTCCCTGAGTCCTTCAGGTGACTGATGAGGCTGATTCCAGGATGGACCGCACCCCACTTTTGTAATGGGGAAAGTGGATCCATTGCTAATGACCTACTGGGCTCTCTCTCTTTAATATTTTTAGTTGTAGTTGGACACAATACCTTTATTTTATTTATTTATTTTTATGTGGTGCTGAGGATCAAACCCAGTGCCTCACCCGTGCAAGGCAAGCCCTGTACCACTGAGCCACAGCCCAGCCCCTGGGCTTCTCTTTCCCCTCTGCATTTCTGGTTCCCCAGGCTGGGCAAAGAGAGGAGTTTGTTACCTGGAAAGACAGTCAGAGAGACCAGGAAAGTCTCATCAAAGCCCAGTTTATCGGCCCCACACCAGTACTTCCCGGCATCCTGCAGGGTGAGATCCCTCAGGGTCACAGTGAATGCCAGCTCTTGGGGGTTGTCGCAGATGGACACTCTGCCCTGCGTTATCTCTTGGCCGTCTTCTCCTGAGTAGATGGTGCTGGAGCAACGGGAGACCAGAAACCCGATCTGCTTGCACCAGTACTTCTTGCGCTCCCTCTCTTCTTTCCCGTACGTGCACTTCAGGGACACAGTGTCACCTTCAAATCCGCTGATGTCCTTTGGACCTTTCAGGGCTTCATAACCTGAAACCATAACAGTGGTTCACTTCATGCTTGCTGCTCCGTTTATTTTATTATGTTTTCCCTTCCTCTCCTTCCTCTCCCCCTCCCTAACCACTGCGGGAGGGGGGGAAGCAAGATTCACCTTCCTGTCCCAGGGAGAGGGATCTGGTCTGTGGCTCACTGACCACAGGAATGAGGGAATCCAGAGTTGGAGCTGGCACCTGCGGATCTAAGAAAGGCTACAGATGAATAATGACTCCTGAAAGGGCTCACTTGGAGCCTTTATAGTCCCCTGTGTGTGCTCCTTTGTTAGCAAAGCAATAAAAAATTTTTCCCTTTTCTCAAAACCTTGTCCTCATTATTGGATTGCCACAAGGACAAGGAACAAGCTTTTAGTTTCAAAACCACAACAGAGGTAGAGGTGGGACTACCCTGGGCTCGGGGACCAGGATCAATACCAGAAGTTTCTGTTTTGCTTCGAGACAGGAAGACTTTTCTCAGCCAGTCCTTCTGGAATAGTCCTGTAAGACCCAGCTCGCTCCTGGCCTTAGGAGACCTTGGTGCAAGGCTGTTGCTCTTTCCCTAAACCTGGAATACTGGGGGAGGGGGTCACCAACTCTAGATTCACCCAGCCGGGTGTTTGAATCCTAGCACTGCCGGCTAGTAGATATGTGACATTGGGGAACTTGCTTCACCTCTCTGAATTTCCTCATTAATAGATGATGATAATGCCCTGCTTCATTGCATGTAAGAGGCAATGTAAGACACACCACAATTTTATGCACCACTAAGAAAAAACAGTGCTAATTAATTCTCACTGCAGTGGCATATGCCTGTAATCCCAGAGACCTGGAGAGGCTGAGGCAGGAGGATTGCAAGTTTGAGGCCAACTCCAGCAACTTAGTGAGACCCTCACCGATTTAGTGAGACCCTGTCTCAAAATAAAAATAAAAAAGGCTGGGATGTAACTCCCCAGAGTGCGCTTCAGTTCAATCCCCAGTACTGGAGTGGAGCAGGAAGACTTTGCCAATTGAACACTGATACCCATTATAAGATGCTTCCTGGTTTTTGTGTTAAAAGACAAAGAACAAAAGCAGACCAGTGAATCGATGCAGCATGATAATCCTTCAACTTCCAGGGCTTTGACTAATATTTTCTGATTTTAACAGGGCTACCAGACACAGGTGTCTTGTCTGCTTCCAGGCTTTGCATAGAATAGGAAAATAAGATGAGAGAGGTAAAGGTCCTCTTTCAGGTGCACAGCTGCACAGGGGCTGGAACCCATACGCCAGGGAGCACCCCGTCTTGAATTTCAGAAACAGCAAGTGCGGGCCTCTTCTGAGGGCCAATGGGGCAGAGGATGCATGGGCTGGGGTGAAGTCTGGAAGCATGAGGTGCACATGAGCATGCGGGGCTGAGGCGGGGATGTTGATTCAGAGGGGAGCTCAGGCATGGGCCCCACATCCCTCCCACTTCCCCCACCCCATCTCACCTGGGAGCATGAGGCAGCTCCACAGCAGGACCACAGGTCGCATGGTAAGTGCTGGACACCTCCTGTGCAGACAACAGCAACTGTGAGCTCCTTTCCAGACCACACGGGGGCTTTAGCTTCCTGCAGAAGCGCCACATCAGGATAAGGAAGGGAGGGGAGGGGCATGCGGGTCACCCCTGGGCACACCCAGTCTAGGAGGCGACTCTGAACTTCTTGTTTTAATTTTTTATTTACTTTTTTTTTTTTTTAGTTGCAGTTGGACACAACACCCTTATTCTATTTGTTTATTTTTATGTGGTGCTGAGGATAGAACCCAGGGCCTTGCACGTGCTAGGCATGCTAGGCGAGTGCTTTACTGCTGAGCCACAACCCCAGTCCCCATGAACTTCTTTTTACTTCGCACCCTGCCCCCAACCAACCCTGAGGTTCGGTCCCCAGCCACGCAAGCAAGCACTTCTCTAACTCGAGCCCCCTCCACCAGGCCCTAACTTGTTATTCATGCACCTCAAAGGATCCGTAAGAAGAATTCAAGGAGTCCATGTGTGTGGATAGGAAAAAATTACATATTGACCTTCATGAACCTCTAAGTGACGTTTAGCTTTTCCTCCTATTAGGAGTGTAGTGTTAGCAGTATCTGTAAATGTAACCAGTAAAAATGGCAGACCCCAGACCATCAAGTTGTTGCAGTGTAAGATGGCCTTAGCCTAAGCAACTCCATTTTAAAACTCCATCGTAAAATAAACCTGCAATCTCACCGGGCAAGCCCACAGAGCCCTCCCATATGTCACTGGGCATAGTCTGATAAAACAAGTCACTTTCTACAACCCTGATAAAAGTCAGGGTGAAGTCACATGTCATTTGCGAGAAGGGTAATATCAGGGCAGAAACAAGCAGACCATATGTCCTCTCTAAATGTAAGATGTCACTGAGAAACCTTGTATCGCCTGATAGGAACCAAAACTATGTGCAGAAACCCCCCAAATTTAGTATAAATAATGGAACAAATGAACAGATATTCAGCCAGCTGATACTGATGCACACATGCCGGAGAGCCTGATGAGGACTTGGACTGATATCCCAACTCTTCTCATCATCTACCTGATCCTCTGCATGGTCCTCCCCGCTCTCAAACTCCACAGCAGCCTCCTGACCCTGGTGAGAAAGGTGACTTCTCCTTACCACCATCTCCTTAGCCAGCATCAACTCTACCTGAGGAGAAGCCTCCATAAGTTCCTGACCTGATCGCTGTGGTCTGAATGAGTGTGCTGGACTTAAGATCGAAGACTTACGAGTTTAAATCTAGCACTTAAGCTTAGCATGCAGCGGGAATGTCTGTCATAGGTCTGTCATGATTAAGAGCATTTGCGTTGCTTAGAATTAACTTAGCATTTGTTTGCTTTGAATTAGTTGTGTTTATTGCTTTCATCAGTCTGAATTATTGTGTTTGTAGTGCCCGGCATTAAGGATTGCCATTCTTTGATTAAGAACCTATAGAGTGAAATTGTATTGAATAATTTTGAGTGAATAAAGCATTGAAAAGGGCATTAGCTCGTGGAAATTCTTTATTTCTCCCCTCGACTGCAGATGTCGCACCTTTGCCCTTCGTGACATGCAGATATCGATATCTCAAAATACTGTGTATACTTCTTACAGCTTGGGGGAATAAAGTTAATAGACATGCCACTAGAGCTGGCTATTAAAGTGCCTAATAAAGAAGCATGTTTATTACAATTATATTTTCATAAACATTTCACTATTTTTAGTTTCATTTTGAGTATATATATATATATATATATATATATATATATATATATATATAGAGAGAGAGAGAGAGAGAGAGAGAGAGAGAGAGAGAGATACATATGCCATTATTCTAAGATTGGGGCTCTGTAAACTTCTCCACACTGCCAAGTGATCAATGGTACATAACTCAGGTTCTCTGCAGCAGGACGCACTCACTGCCCCTCCTCTGCGTCTCCCCTGCCTGAGATGCAGTACCGCCCTTGACCACAGGGTGGCGTCGCAGGTGGAGCTGAGCCGAGCAGTCTGCCCCAACCACCCTGCTGGGTTGGTCCCCTCCAAGTGGGCTTGGGTTGTTCGGCACTTGAAAAAGCGAATTAGTGTTTTCCCCACCGCAGATTTGAATCCTCCTCGAAAGGATCAAACAAACACGCACACTAGAGGGAGCCCTGACGCATTGTTTTCCAAGAGAGCTCTGTTGGTTTTCTTCTGATTGCAAAGCTCATACAGGTTACAAGCAAAATTTTTACACAATGCAGAGATGTGAGGAAAAAAAAAAAAAAAAAGAATGGAAATGTTTCTTGTAATTTCCCTTCTTCCTTAGAAAACCATTGTTAATATTTTGGCATATTTCCTTCCGTCTACACAGTTGGAATTTTACCCACAGGGCAAGTTAATATTTGAAGCATTTACTCTGGTTCTGGGAGTGTGCACGTGATTCTGGTAATGTGGGGGGAAGTGTTTTGATTTCACAATGATTGACAGCCCTGCTGCCATTTAATGAGCAGGGACATCATGTCGTGAAAACCCTGTTAGAAGATCTCAGCTCAGAACTTGATTCCCTTTTACGTGTACAGATTTCAAAGAGTAATCAGGTTTTGAAGTTTAAAACAATAACACGAATTAAAATAATATTTATTCTAGCATCTCATAGTATATTTCTGCTCTTTATTTTGTCCTTATATAGAATAATTTCTTTTTTTTTAATATTTATTTTTTAGTTCTCAGCGGACACAACATCTTTGTTTGTATGTGGTGCTGAGGATCGAACCCGGGCCGCTCGCATGCCAGGCGAGCGCGCTACCGCTTGAGCCACATCCCCAGCCCCTATAATAATTTCTAATCTACTTTTTTTTAAAGAATTTTTTTTTTTAATATTTATTTTTTAGTATTTGGCGGACACAACATCTTTGTCTGTATGTGGTGCTGAGGATCGAACCCGGGCCGCACGCATGCCAGGCGAGCGCGCTACCGCTTGAGCCACATTCCCAGCCCCTCTAATCTACTTTTATTGAAGCCTAATTTATTCCTCACAAGCAGGGGCAAGCATCTGACACTTCATTATGTTTCCTAGTGTCATGGGGCCTGAACATTAACATTTTGAAATATGTGTTATTTGGTAATAAATTGTTTTCCTTTTATTTTTTTTCTCCCTAGTACGATTTGGGCATATATTATGACTTTAAAAAAAATTGTGGGAGAGGCATTTATTTGTGATTGTCATTTCAAGAGGGGACAGGAAGTGTTACTAAATACTTACTTATATAAAGAGGGAGTTGGGTCTGACCTGAGTTATCCTTGAACCTTCCCAGTATATTCGAACATCTTTCCCCTCCAATCTACCAGTCCCACACCTAGCCCAGGAGCTGGCTGGGGGGTTCCATTTAAAAGAGCTCCTCCTGGTGGGGGGGTGGTGGTGGTGGAGTGAGCATTGGGAGAGGCTGTAAGTGGGGTGCTGTTGTAGGCACTGCATCTGGATCACACCCTGGGCTGATGGTGGCCAGAGGATCGACCCATGGTGGGTTTTGGGATCTGAGAGGAGAGGATGCTTATGTCCTGTGTCTCACCCTTGAGTGCTGGGAGGCACTCTGCCATCACTGCTCACAGCAGCCTCTCTGTGTCCTCACTGAGGGCTCTATGTACCCAAGAATGGCTCAGCTGTGGCTGCAGGTGCAATGGCTGAGACCAAGGAGACCAAACTCCTAGGTCTTCAATAGTCACCCTGGTTCAACTCCTCTAGGGTTTGGACTTGCTAGGACTGAGTTGGTCTAAGATGGTATTTTGGTGCCCTTAGATTCATGTTTTCAGATCTCAGTACTAGTGACACTTTGGACAGATAATTCTTTGTGGTGGTGCAGTCCTATGCATTGTGGGATGTTGGACAGCCTCTTTGGCCTCCATTTACTAGATGTTAGTAGTCCCTCTTTCCCAATTTATTAAAATGCCCCCCCCAAAAAATGTCTCCAGACACTGTTGAAAGTCCCCATGTGAGGGGATTGCTCTGGATTGAGAATCAGTGCCCTGGGTGATGAACAAATCTACAGAACAAATAAGTATGAGGGGCTGGGATATGGCTCAGGGATAGAGTACTTGCCTGGCATGCGTGAGGCCCTGGGTTCAATTTCTTATACTGAAAATTATTCAAAACACCATCAAACAAGTGTGCTTTTGTGTAAGTCGTGTGTGTAGTCCCAAGGTCTTGGGGTAAGACAGTGGGCTTCTAATTCTGAACCCCAGAGTTACGTGGACTCTACCCAGTCACAGGTGGTGATGAGAACCTCGCCCTGGACCCCACTAACACTCAAGGGGAGCCTCGACCGGGCCATGCAGACACGCTGCAGGAGGCTGGCTCCCAGGGGACAGAGAAGGGAAGGGGCTTGGGAACACCTGCCTTGTTTTTCCTTCCCAGTTCATCAATCAAATCAGTGAAGGATCACTGGAGAGAGACCAAGAGCATGACACTAGTAGGGCTCTGTCCTCGTGGAAGGGAACATCAGGGTGGTCACTTCATGGATCCTCAGCCTCCAGCACTCGTTGGAATATTGTTTACCTTTTGCATTTTGTTGAGGTACCATGGAGTTAGTCCAAGATGGTCGCATCTGTACTGGACACGTTCAGAATTTTTCTTATCATTATTCCCTAAATAATGTAGCACAACAACTATTTCATAGCACCTACCTAGTGTCAGGTATTACAAGTAATCTAGATATGATTTAAAGTATGCAGGAGAAAAAAATAAAGTGTGCAGGAGGATGTAGGTTATACACAAATACTATGCCATTTTGTGTAAGGAACTTGAACAGCCACAGATTTGGGTATTCAAGGGGGATCCTAGAACCAATTCCCTGTGGATATTGGGAAATGACTGTGTATATTTAAAACTCTGAGAAACACTGGAGGCTAGGTGCTATGTGGCACTTTGGATTGGATCCCAGAAAGGAGAAAGAATATTAGTGGAAAGACTACAGAAATACTAACAATGTCTGGTTAATAGTAATGCATCAATGTTAACTTCTTAGTTTC